AACAGTTTGACTGTATTGCTTTAAAAGACCATTGTTTTAATGACAGAATGAAGTAAGTGTGCTCTCACAGAACTCGCATTTTCATATCATACTTACAATAACACTCCTGATATTGAGAACATTTATCAAAATTTACCATGGTTGACTTAAATTTCGAACTCCTCAACTTCTGTCCTCTGTAATCTTGCTGCTTCTTTTACTTTTCTGTCCCCACTCCCTCGCTCTAATGCAGCCGATCACATTACAGCATTAGAACTTAGCAGATCAGCCCTCCCAGAACCACTTGCATTTGAAAGACAAGTTTCGCCCAAAGAAATCAGCCATTGCTTTTGATATCAAAGATTTTGTGGAGGTAGAAAGCTTTCTTTCCTCTTCTCTTCAGTAACAACATGCAGGAGACCAGGCAATGGAAGAAGGCAGAGAAAAATAATGATTGGGGGGAAAAGAGGATGTTTTTATTTTTAAGAGGAGGAAAAGGAGAACAGGGTAGAACTTTATCTTTTCCATGTCTGGTAAACCACCATAATTTGTGGTCAGCACTTAAACAATATTAATCAGTGATGAAACCTATCTTTGGCCTCACCTTCTTTTGACAACAATAATAATAAATAACATAGAATGGCATTTTGTAAATGGACTTGTGTCTCCATCCCCTCCTTTTCCCTCACGTATACTCCATTAAAGGTCTGGTGGCAAAGTTAACTCCAGTCTATGCATTATTCTCTCAACAAATAGTGGGCCCCCTTTCGGGGCTCCCAGAGCTCCACCCCCAGAGCTCACATTGCTCTCTTTACTTGGATTCTTCTTCCTCTAGGGCTCTGCCTTTTTAACTACTATTCATTCAAGGAGTCCCAACTCAAATACTAGCAAAGAGGCCTTCTCCAAACAGCTCTTGCTATCCTGATCAAACCAATCTTTCTCTTCTATCTTTAGCACTAGTGGACCTGAATATATTTTAGAACTCCTCATCTTACATAATTAACATATGTGCAGATGTCTCTCTGTTCCATAGAATATAACTACTTTGAGTTGGGACTAAGTCTAATTTATTTCTATTTTATGCATCTGATACTACTATGTATCAAGAATGGCAAATATATGATAAAAGTATTTGCTATAGTCTGGACATTATAAAATGCAGTCTAGACAATTTAAAGCCATAAGAGGGCAAACAGAAAATTAAGGTTAGGTAACTACTGAATTAAAAAAATATTTTTTAAACACCTAAGAGTCAGGAATTATGTCCCAGACTACTAGGATAAATAAAATAAGTCACTACCTTTGAGGCATTCACAGTCCACCTTTGGATCTGATGTATACAGCACTTCTGTAGTTTACACGTTACTTTGCATGTTGTTCCTTACAATAACCTTATAATGTAGGTCATTATTTTTATTTTTATGGAAATGCAAACAGAGGGCTTGAATTCCCAGGTCTTCTGACTCCTAGACTAGGGTTCTCCCTTCCCTACCACATCAGTGTTCATCATAATTTCCCACTGTCTTTGGTTAATGATTCTTCTGGTAGGATTCTCTGATGAGAAACATCGGACTATACAATAAAATTTGTCATCATTTATACCTCTTAAAAATATTTTGCCCACTGTCATACACTTTCTTACAGGAGAACGAATTTATATTTCCAAGAGTGGGACAAGTTCAAAATCTACTGTGCTACCTTTAAAATTCATGTTTACTGTACTGTTTTCTATCACTTCCCATTGAGTCAAGTCCTGGAGTCTTTAGTACAGGATTTCATAACCAGATGGGTACACACATGACTTGGGAAGCACGTGGCTACAACTCCTGCCTTTACTCGGGGTCTTTGGGTTTGGCTTGAGTCCTCACCCAAAGCTTTAGGTTTTATTCAGGTTTCTTAAGAGGCATGGTTTTTATTCAGTCTTCTCTGAAGCCTCTAAGAAAGCACACTTTACTCCAAAATGTTTAGGGAGCAGTGGGCACAGCCCTTTCTCTTCCTCAGAGGATGTCTCATTCAGGCAGTTGGGGCCTTCCAGTCTGATACTATCTAAAACCCTCTGCTGCTGGATGAACTTGACTTCCAGATGTCTGTTCCAAAGGCCTTGCTGGTCCTTGAAGGCCCTAACGGCTCCACAACACACTCTGGTCAGAACCACTAGAGGGCAGCTGGAGCTGCAGCTCTGCTGAGCCCTCTAGCGGCTACTTCGGGTAACGCGGCCCTTTGCTGGAACCTATTAAAAAAACTCAGAAGTTGCACGCGGGAGCCATCCTGTGTGACACCCGGTAGTGAACCTTTTTTTTTTTTTTAAGATGTCTTGGTTTTTTGCTTCCTTCTATTAAGGCCTTTAGCCCTTTAGCAGGTCGCAGTTACTTTCCTTCCATGAGTTTCCCCTTAAGGATCTCCCCCTCCCAGCGAGGGTGTGGCCATGTGAAGCCATCGGTTTCTCTTGGCAAAAAAAAAAAAAAAAAAAGAATCTGGGCGTCTTGGCAACTTTTCCCTGTGCCATTGTATTTCACCTTCTTCACGGACATAGAGCTTATACATATGCATTCAAGCCTTTTCAATATAATCCCAGCTTCGATACAGCTTGCAGGCTCTGAATTCAACTTCAGGATTGAAATCTCTCACATTTAGTAACTAGGTAACTGTTTCATCTGCAAAATAGGGAGAATAATGATACCTATATAATACAGCTTTGGGGGAAATAGCTATGATAATGTACAAAAGGTGCGAGTCTGGCACACTCAGAAAGGCCAGCAAACGTGCTGTTTTTTATTCTTCAAGGCCTGGTGCACACCATGTCTATCAATTTGGTGTCTTGAGCTAGGATACCAAAGCACTTAAGCAAAATGAATTCCATTAAAAGCCTAGCGTTTCCTGAAATGGCTAATTGAGACTTAGGTTATGGAAAGGGGGACTTCCTTGTGTGTGACAATCCATGCACTGGGTATTTGTGAAACAAATCCAAGGGGCCTGGATCCTTCTGGAGGAGCTATGTTTTGCACACAGGAATCCTTCCAACCTTGTCTCCCCTCCCCCACGCCCCCCACCCCCCCACCCATGCAAGCATTAGGGTGAGTCTGGGTCTGGAGTCTGTGAACCAGGCTTGAGGCACAGTAGGCAAAAGCAACAGGGTCAGACCAAGGCTGGGAACCCGGCACTCAAAGGCCAGGCAAATGCAGGCTAATCAAATTCACCACCCACTAGGAGTCTAAAAGGTGACAGAGCCTCCCAAGCTCAAAGTCCAGGCACACTAGAAAAGTGGCCAGGAAATCTGACAGGTAGAAAGAAGCTTGATAGAAAGTGTCAGAAAAGTTAACGCTGAGGGCTAACACACACAGGCCCAGGGAAAGGTCAGTGTGAGCTGAGCAGCTGTTCCATGTGGTGCCAGAAGCCTTGGCTGCTGTCTTCTACACCAAGCAGTGAGGCCTCTCTGAGCAGCCCCACCTAGAAAGGCCAATTCCCCTGCTCTTAAAGGGGACTGGCTTGTTCGTGGCAGGCAGTCTTACTCTTAGATGACACAGCTCTCTGTGAAATATGAATGGGAAGAGGGAGAGTGGTGCAGTCTGGGTCAAGAGTGGGTTTCACTGGCTCCAGAGGGCTGGGTGGCTGCCGCCTGCGCCTCCATGTTGTACACATGCATTGCTCTTGGAGACAGGCAGGGGGCTTGGCTGCAGGGTAGGACCCGGACAAGCCGCGTCTTGAGCTATGCCTTCCAGCCTGGGTTGAATGGGGAGCGATAGAGGAGGAGGGAGGGCGATCGTGGAAAGGAGGTGGGGTGGGGAGGTGCAGGGGAGCAGCCCAGCGAAAGCAGGAGGAAGAATGAATCTGCTGCGCGCTGAGGATGGCATGGAGACTTCCCTGATTGGAGCTGGGAGTTCTTGCAGGGGGATGGAGGCAGCTATGATTGGATGGCGAAAGTGGGGCCAGATTTGGAGGGCTTTGAATGCCCGACCGAGGAGCACTCAACCCAGCTCCTCCTCACTCGCGATTTCCGTTCCAGACCCGATTTATGGCAACGCGTGTTCTCTCCTTTGCGCTCACCTGCTTTAAGGCTCTCCATTCACTCCTTCGTCGGTGGTGGTGGTGGTGGTGGTGGTGGCGGGGGGTGGGGGACGATATGGGTTAATAGTGATTAATGTCACTTTAGCTGAAGATACAAAAATGATAGTAATAATAATAATAAAGCTATTTCCTCGGCACATGTGATTAAAAGTGATCCGTCCCCCCGCTCCTCCGCACGCATGGTTGTCCGGTCAGCGCGCCTCCCCTACGTTTTCCTACTCTGGGTCCCCGTGGGCCTCAGCTGTGGCCGCTCCGCCCCCGCCCCCCCGCCCCCGACCCCCTCCCCCCCACGGCCCCCCGCGCCGCCGCGCCGCGCCGCGCCGCGCCCGCGCTCCTGGTCCACGCCCCCGGCCGACCGTAGGTGCCGCGCCGTCTGCGCCGGGCCGCAGTGCGGCTGCGCGCACTCGGCGGCTCCGGGGCTGGCTGGGCAGCGGCGGCCGCGGCGGCGGCGGCGGCGGCGGCGGGCCGGGAGCGAGCGGCGGCGGCGGCGTGGGGAGTGGCGTGGAGCGGATCTAAGGCTGCAGCAGCGTGGGGACGAGAAAAGGAAGGCCGAGCCGCCAAGTCCCTGAGCCACCGTCCCCGTGGACTCGGGGGTGGTGGTGGTGGTAGTGGGGGGGGAGCACCTCATCTTCAGACGCCCCCAACCCCCCCCAGCCCCGGCCGCTGACGGGAGGAGGCGGCGGCGGCGGCGGCGGGGGGCTGAGGGGCGCCGCCATGCCTCTGCCGCGGTGAAGCGCTCGGTCTCCCGGGTGATGTCCCCCAGGCGGCAAGCGAAAGCCACTCACTCGAGCCCTGGGGTATAGGCCTAGCTCACCCAGCTTCCTTCCTCCTCCTCCTCCTCCTCCTCCTCCTCGTCCTCCTCCCCTCTCCCTCCCTCCCCCTCTCGCCCTCCCCTCCCCGGTGTGTCTTCCCTCCCCCTCCCCCGCGCCCCCATCTTCCCTGCCCCCCACCCCCTCCAGCAGCGATGGCAGAGGAACGACAACAGCCGCCGCCACCGCAGCCCGAAGCCCATCAACAACCTCCCCCTGGCGCCCCCAGCTCGGGGGTGGCTCTGCCCGCCCTGGTGCCCGGGCTGCCAGGGAGCGAGGCCAGCGCGCTGCAACACAAGATCAAGAACTCCATCTGGTAAGAGGATCCTCCATGGCCAGGGCAGAAGAGCCCGGGCAGCGTGCGCTCCTGCTGCTGCAAAGGGTTGGGGGGCTGGGAGCCGAGCCCCGGCAGGCAGATGCATGCATTCAATGTGGGGTGCCACAGTCCCCCAGCTGCATATTTGTAGGATTCCCCCTCCCCCCGAAGGGAGTTGCAGGGGAGAATGGATCTACCCAGGTCTCTCTTCTTCAGCCAAAAAATGGCTTGTAGCCCCTCCTCGATTTTAAGGGCAAGTTATTTGTGCCTCCCTCCCCCTTAGGGTAAGAGGAATTAGGGGTCAAAATTAAGTCATGGCAGGATGGTAGCAGGCATTTGAAATTGGAAATGGTAAATGTGTTTACTCCTTTTTTGTAGTGGAAGAGGGAGGAAGAACTGTATTGTTGATTTTCACCAAACAAGACATTGTGCGTAAGAATATTTAACGTGCAGCACAAAAACCTAATGTGTGTCTTCCTTTCGGTTGGGTTAGCTGCTGTTTTTGTGTGGTTATTTCCCTTCTAGGAGTTCATGCTTGGCATTGATGGTGAAGCAATTGCTTCTTTAGTATGAAATATTTTAAGGTGGTAGTTTAGACTGTAAGGTGATTCTTTTAATTAAAAAAAATCAGGAATCAAATAAATGCATTGCCATTTTGTGTAATTTTAAAAAAGACAACATAGAGAAAATATCCTTTGCTATTCTTGTATGAGAATTTTCAATATTTTAGCATTAGGTTGAACTCTTCAAAATTGGTGGTAATCTTAATAATTAAATGCACTAGGTTAAGACCATCCTCATCCTCTGTTAGAGCCATTGTAAATATTTTTTGAACGTGAACTTGAATTGTAGGATTAACTGGCATTTCTAAAAAAAAATGTGTACCCTATTTTTAAAATGGAAAAACAGTATTTGTAATTTGGTCTAAGAGATTGCTTTTAATAGAAGTTTTAAAATAGAAATTAAACGTGATGTTAAAAAAAAAAGCCTTGATTTTGAACATGAATCCTGCAGGTCCGTAATTGACTGTGATTTTTAAAATATGAAAAGTACTTTCATATTGCAGTTTAAAAACAAATGTATCATAAAGCAACTGGCATTGCGTGCACAGTATTTGCACATTTAAAAACAGTGACCAATTTTAAATACAAAATTAAGATTTGCTATGTAGTAATTGTCATTATTTTCTTGGCATGCATCCATGTCATGTTGCTGATATGAAGTAGGTCAGTGCAGGCTTTACTAGTCTCATACTGTACAGTGGTTGGCACGGGAATACCTTTCTTTCAGTTTTTATTTTAAAATGAAGTCTAACTATTTTAAAGGAGAATTTTTTTGACTTTGATTAATAGTCATGTGGCAACCTTAATAGGTCGAATAGTGTAGTGTATGTGAGAGACAGGAAGAATAGGAATGAGAGAGGAAGCTTTATTCTTCACTGGGTGTCTTCAGGAACCCCTTTTTAAGTGTGTAATTTAAGTGAAAAGGTGGTTTATTTCCCTTTTATCATGTAGGTTTTCACAAAACCAGCTTGTGTTTTTACTCCTATATAATGTAACTTAGGGTCCCTGACATCATTAAATTGAAGTAAACACGTTGATTTTTACGTTCTGATGAGGGACATTCAAGTTTAAGGCCGAAAATCTTTAAGAAAGGATTTTAAAAGTTCAGTTAGTAAGGTGTATTTTAATTTATTATGAGAAAATAAAGAGAGAAGAATCTTCACTTAATAATTTTAAAATGAGTGACTTCTATAGGCACTAAGTGAAGTGGCTTGAACAATGAAAGTGCTTTTTTTTTTAGTAAATTGTGATTTAATTATTTGTTCATTGATAATTGATATTTACACATCCATTACAATTCAACTTTGCTGACTTTAACATGAGAAAAACTTGTCAAGTAGAGTGTAATTCAATTTTTGGTACTTGCTCTGAGAAAGTAATGAAGAACAAACACCTTATTCCTAAAATATGCCATTTTGTCTATTTTAAATTTATAATGGCGCACATACTAGCATTTAATTTTCAACTGTATAAGTTTGATTTGCAGAAATTGTGCCTTTATACTTAAAACTTGAGGATGAACAATAGTAGTAGGTAACAAGCATTAGTGGGTGTATTTCAAACGTAGTCTCCTAACCCCTGTCCCACAGGATGGGTTCATATTATCATCAAGTGAAGATGTAAAATAAAGATGCTACCATCTTCTCCTAAGAAATAGTGCATATGTACTAAACTAAGTCATTTTGATAAATATAATTACACTTCCTTAAGTATCTTATTTCATGGTTTTTGAGGCAATAATAGCTCTCACCAGTTTGTTTGTTTTTATCACCTGATAACGTCTTCAGAGCTATCAGTGTTGTACTACTTCTCATATCATCCTTTGGTACTGATCTTATTAAGAATTTAAAATGAGGTTCAGAAGAAATGTGGCATTTAAAAGTTATTCAATGGGTTTTGCATTTAGGTCGATCATAGTTTCTAAATTACTGGGCTTGCAGATTGCAAACAAGTCTGCACTTGTCCTACTCTACAGATATAAATACTGTATGCAATGCAGGCCTTCAACTGGACAATGAGTTATTTATTATCACAGCTCACAATTAATGTATTCTGTTTATTAAATTAAAATGCTATTTGATAAAAGTATTCCACTGTAATTGCCAGCATTAAATGCGTGTTTGAAAAAAATAAATGTTCAAAGTTGAAACCTTGGTACTTAATGAAATTGGAAACTTTTTTGAGGGGAGTGGTTCAGAGGTTTGAACTCGAGGACCTTACACCTGCTAGGCAGGCACTGTATCACTTGAGCTACCCGGCCAGCCCTGGAAACTACTTTTTAAGAATTGGAAGTGTTGCAAGGCACTGGCATCTCAGGCCTGTAACCCTAGCTACTTGAAAGGCTGAGATTGTGGTTTGAGACCAGCCTGGGCAGATAGTTGGTGAGATTCCCCATCTCCAAAATAACCTGAGCAAAATGGACTGGAGGCATGGAACAAGCAGTAGCCCTTCCCACACACATAAAAAAGTTAGAAATACGTTATTTTTTAACTCTAGAAAACAAAGATATTGCTAACCTGGTAGTGTTTTGTTTGTGTAAATACTGTTACGAAATCTACTTATGTCTCCAGGTTGAACAGGTCTCTCTGTTTCTCATCTTCCCCTCTTGAAAAGAAATGTATTGTAGACATGTTTTAATACTGAGTATGCCGTAAGAATGGTATTAGTATTTTCTAAATAGTGGAATTTTAAAATAAGCGTTTTCTACAAAGAAGGAAAACCAGCAAACCCACCTTTTTTTCTTGTTTTTGGCTTTTTGAGCCAGGGTTTTGCTCTGCAGCCCAGTCTGTCTTCACACTTGCAGTACTCCTGTCTTAGCCTCCTGAGTGCTGTGGTTACAGGGTGTGTGCCACCATACTTGGCTACTCATGTCTTTTTTCTAAAGGAATACTCATGTTGGCAACCTAAAACAAAACTAGAAACCCATCCTAACTACAGACTTCTTTGATTTACATTATACCCCTTTTTGGTTATTTAAAAAAAATTATCAAAGCAAGTTTTCTCTTCCTCATATCTCTCAGTGTCTTCATGGTTTAAAAAAATACATATGAAAATTTGTAGTTTAAAGAACAACAAAAAGATTTACCATGTATTTTTTTTCTTTGCCTCTCTAAAGGTTTACTTGAAACCATTGTGGAATTAGAATGGAAAAAATAGGATAGAAAATATATTTGTGATCTCTTCTGGCTGTTTGTCACTAGTTATATTTAAGAATAGGTCAGATCAGGGCTGGCGATGTAGTTCAGTTAGTAGCACACTTGCTGGCCTTGGGTTCAATTTTCAGTACTGGGGGAAAAAAATAGATTATACCTACAGGTTAGGCTACAACATAGATAATAAACTTTTGCCTAGAAATTCAAAAGTCCTAATGTTTTTTGGTAGAAAGTTTTCTGTTACTCTATTCAAACACAATCATAGATTTTTAAGGAATTAGTTATACTAATTGCTGTTATTATTTGTGTAACTTTAATTATAGGAAAAAATGTTTTAAAGCTTTTCTTAAAACAGTCCTGTAAGATACATCATTGTTCTACCCATGTTATGGAGAGAGAAGCTAAGTGACAGGGAAACTGTATATTCCTGGATTTATTACCAGACCTTGGAGGCCATCATGCTGGGGTTGGAGTTCCTTGTCTTTATTCAATCCTGTAAGGCATACAAACTTCTGAATCTGGCACATTTTAGGTTTAGAATTATACTCTTTAAGAATTATTTATGTGGTCCATGTTTGATGTTTTCTAAATTCTAGTTTAAACTCAAATTGAATAATTTTGTTTTACTTTTTTATTAATTGTGATGTCAATTAAACATCTAGACACTAGGTGATGAATGTTTCCATCGCCGTGCAGTGAGCAAAGTATGGCGATCACAAGGCTTACATTGTAATGGCATGGTAGTCCTGATTTCTGGCCTCTGGCGGAGAACTCAGCAGTTCAGTTTTGTTCTAGGTCATGCAGTTTATGAGCTGTATCTGAGAAATAGTTATTGTTCCTCCAGCTGTAGCAGGAAACATTTACTATGGAGCTCTTATCTTTAGAGTTTACCTTACCCATAAGTCCATGATTTTCATTTTCCCTTAAAATTACAGACATCACTTGGCTATCATATTTTGATTAGTTGGTTAACAAAGCTACCCACCCTGAATTCAGCTAGTCTTCTGTACCCATTTTACAAAAGACCTAGGGTGCTTTTTGCTTGTCAGTACTGAAGCTAGCTATGGTGATTGTGTCCCAACACTGTTTCTGATTCCATAAAGAAGGTAGTTTCTTCCTTTCCTGTTACTTGAAACTGATGAAATTGTCTTCAGAAAGGCAAGTTAAATAATTCCAAGCCTGTCGGTTTTCTGGTCTTGATTATCTTCAGTATATGTATAAATAATCAACCAATTTGCTCTTTCCATTGGGAGGTATAGATGATGGATGTGCAGAACTGATTGGG